GGCACGCCCTGTCCCACCTTGTCCGTCCTTGAGCCGTGTGATGTGCGTGAAGGCCTCCTCGGCGGCCGTCATCAGACGAGCGCGTCGCCGCCGCACGCGGCGCTCCTGCTCGTGCTGTTCGCGGTAGCGCTCGTTATGAGAACCCTCCCGGCGCCGGCTGCTGGGAGTGTCCTGAGGCGGGGTCTGGAATGGCGCACAGGTCGGGTCAGGTGTGGACCGGAGCGAAGGGCCGTCGGCCGGGCACTGGCAGAAGCAACTACACAGTCGGATGATGTTTACCCGTGCAGAGACGCTATAGGGATAGTCGCGGACTGAAGCATGAAATAGCAACCAGTCTCCCTTCAACAAGTATTGACAATGATGCCAGTATCCACCAAAATGCAAGTAGCGCTCTATACACAATTTTTCTATCCGTCCAGTAAATAAATGCCGGGAATGCGGCACGCCAAGAGCCAGCAAACACCGAACAAAAGGGTTGAGCCTGTTGAGAAGAACGACCGGTTTTTCCGGCCGATGATCACTGAGGGCGCTCTGCCGGCGGCCGGCGGTGACGCAGCGCGATCTTCCGTTCTGCATACCAGAACTGACTCATTCCTACGCGGAGGACAAGTCCAGCTCGGCACGCAGGCCGTCCCATTCGGGGTCATAATGTATGCCGCGTCGCTGCCGGGCACGGCGAGAAACGCTGGAATTGCGTCACAGGGACGGGTCGCAGGCTCGCATGCCTCGCTCCTGCCAACACGCTGGGCTCTGGCGGAAACGCGGCAATGGCCCCGCGGGTATCGCCAGCAGAGCACAGCCGAAGGCTGGCATCGCAGGCAGTCAGGTGTGTATCGGCCCGATGTGTGGAGAGGAACAGGCGACCAGGCCAGGTGTCTGAGGCCCCTCAAGCACTCACTGCGGGCTGCGTGTGCAGTAGGAACATAGACATATTCGTACTCAACAAGCTATATCACATACATTACGTATATCATGATCAGTTACATCACATATGTCGGGTATATCATGCTCAATGGTAGCACGTAGATCATACATAACATGTTAATTTATGTCGTATATGCACACTCTTCGTGATCACTGGCATCACATTGCACTTAGTTTATATTACACCATTCTTAACTTACAATATGTAATTATCCATATGCTGTGCTTCCCAGACACGTGTCCACCACAATGGCGTCCACGCACAGCGTTCACATGTTCGGATAATGTAGCGCGCCGCGGCCGGCGGCACGTTGGGTGTCCGCCGCCACGAGGGGCGGTGACCGCTGGTCACGTGCTCCCCACCGCGGACCGCACTCCAGGCCACGTGACCGCGGGCCGTCGCGGCGGCTCCTCCACAGCCGTCCCGGCGACGCGGGCTGTCGCGACGACTCCTCCACAGCCGTCCCGGCGGCGCGGGCTGTCGCGGCGGCTCCTCCACAGCCGTCCCGGCGGCGCAGGCCGTCGGCTCGCGGCGAGCAGCTGCGGTCACCGAGCGGAACCGCGCTCGCACGGGTACCCACCAGGCGCACGCTAAGCAGGGAAGTGGTCGTTGCGGACGGAGCAAGCAGGCCGCTAAGTGGACACTCGGTGGTAGTTATGGAGCATCTGTGAAATGGCTGGCGACCATAGCAATCGGACGGGCACGTCACCCCGCCATATGCGCAGCGAGTGGCCGCCATGCCTCGCAGCTCTGGCGCAGAGAACTACGGTGGACACATTGGACACCCCTCAAGCCAACCAGGCCTGACGCAGCGAACGTGCCGTCAAACAGCATCGCACTGTCGAGTGTGAGAAACTGGACTTGACACAGGCACAGCGGCATTCAGCAGCCTAAACTAAACTAAACTAAACAGCAGACAGTGCACACTCGTGACCAGCAACTTGGCGAGGACAAATCGGCTAAGGCACCTAACGAATTCGCGCTAACACACCATTCAACTATGCGCATTGAATTAGACCCGACACATTGCACATCCGTACACAGCATGCTAGAGCCATCACACCATGATCGTTACACAGAGAGTCAAGTCACATGGCGGGGCGGGGGGGGGACCGGGGTGTACAGCGAGCGGGAACTGACAAACGAGAACCAATGCATCACAGAGCCGGGTGTAGTGGTCACGAGCGTCTCCCAAACAAGAATCGCTTGTGTTTTCCACATGTCCGGGAGATTTCATATATGCCATAATTCATGCTTGCAGTAGTAATCGCCCGACGGATCCACCACTGGCGAACTATTTCGACCCACGTTTTGATCCGTTGCCTTCGGTATGCATTATTCCCGCCCCTCATTCGAAGACCGCTTCCTTGCTTGACAACAGAACATGACCCATTATCACACTACCTTTGACGGAGAGCGTTATCGAACTGATGAGGATTTATGCTATGGAGCATTATCAAGGCTGCACTCGTGTTGTCTGTACATCTACCTGTCATCCGCGAAGCGATTTGTGCTGTACACGGGGATAGGAAAATGAGGACACATACACACGCAGACGCACGGATTAATAGGTCAGGCTTAGCTATTTAGAAGAGCCGACATATCACATAGCTGCACCTGTTTGTGTTAAACAAGGGCCGCCGCACGACGTAACCATATACAGCAGGCATTAGCCGACAAACTATATAGTCGTATACTGCGAACCAGAGTTGACCAGTCGCATTGTATGCACCCGGCGGTTGAAGACATACAGATATATGTCGTGAATCGGAGTCGACCAGTCGCGTCGTATGCGCTCGGTGGTTGAAGACACATCATACAGTTATATGCCGTGAATCGGAGTCGACCAGTCGCGTCGTATGCGCCCGGTGGTTGAAGACACGTCATACAGTTATATGCCGTGAATCGGAGTCGACCAATCGCGTAGTATGCACCCAGTGGTTGAAGACACATCATACAGTTATATGCCGTGGACCGGAGTCGACCAATCGCTTCGTATACACCCGGTAGTTGAAGACACGTCATACAGTTATATGCCTTCAATGGGAGTCGACCAATCGCGTAGTATGCAAGCGGTGGACGAGAGCTGACGCATCATGCGGTTGGATTAAGCAAATCATGGCCATCACGTTACTCAGCAGAATGCAGGAAACTAGAACCGCCGCGCGTCCAGGAAACCAAACGTGCTCGGTTTGATTCCCCGCAGTGTCCGCGTTTCTGGCCAGGTGAGAGCCCATAGCCATATAGTCTCAGCATCTGAGTGTGTCGTAAAGCACCAATGGCAACAACAAACTAGAGCCGACGCGTCACGCAATTGTATGCTGCAACCTAGACAATAGACATCGTACGTCCGCTCGCAGCAAATTGGAGGAGACACATTGCACAGTTGCATGCAGCGGCCTTGTACAGAACATCGCACGACCGCCCGCGCAGAGGGACAGCGTAGAAGTGCCATGACCGTGCCCTGTAGACATGTGGGTGCCTAGGTAATGTCTCGTGTATTTAAATTAATGATGTGCACATAAGTGCGATTGAAAAAGGACACCAAATCTCAAATATTAAAGCAGCGAATTTCCAAAATCGGAGAGCTCACAAACTGTTTAACGACACCAACTCAGTTTTCCGAAACCCCAATCAAATAAAGTAAAGCAAAGCTATCATCTGGAGCCTGACGCAGGAAGCCATTTGCATGTGCGCAGCGCTGGGGACGTTGTATGCGATGAGCTGGTTGGAAGTGGGATGTCTGAGACACACTCTAAGTGAACAATAAATGTCAAATGACCCGGGTTTGTGTCGTAAAAATCGCATTACGAAAATGCATGGGTGGAAGATGCTTAAACACTGTTGTCAAGTCAGCGATTAGGGGTAATCGCCGCTAAAGCAATCCATAGAATTCCATAATGACCCCAAATGAGCCATCCGCAGGGCCCGGGTCGTGATGAACGGCCGCCCGAGCGTTGCAGTGACCCCGGCGCGCGTCTCCCTCCGGCGGCCAGCTGCCCTGCGCAGGAGGGAAGCCAGCACGCGCCGGCTGGGGGTGGCGGGGCGCGCTCAGTACGGGGCGGCCACAGTCACAGCAGGCCAGCGAACGAGCATAGGAGGAATCGTGGTTCTGAAGCATCGGACCGTGATTGATGCGTATGGCACCGTACGGCAAAGTGACACAGGACACCTCTCCTTCTGATCCATTCTGTCTGTAGCCCCACCGCTGCCCTCGGTAACGTATGGTCTCCGAGGCCAGCGTGACAGGATGGAGCAGCTCGGTCCTACAGCAGCCTCACCTGCACGGCTGAGCCGGCCGCCGAACCGTCCACGTCATAGTACTTGTAATGCGTGACGCTGCCCTTGCGGGACGACCCGCCCGGCAGCCGCTCCAGCTGCGGGGTGCACTCTGGGAAGTCGGCCTGGTACCGCTCCAGCACGTGCGCAGCCGCCTGCTGGATGCTCAGCCGGCCGAGCGCGTACAGCCGCGACTGGCCGTCGGGGCTGCGCACCACGCGCACGGCGTAGCGAGGCTGCGCGTGCCGCAGTTCCAGCAGCAGCACCGCCAGGTAGTGTACCCAGAGCAGCGCATCCACCAGCCCACCGGCCAGCAGAAGTACAGTGTAGTAGCGGATCTCCGTTCGCTCACTCAGCACGCGCACGATGAAGAAGACCCAGAAGCCGGCGGTGAAGAGGAACGCCAGCACGAGCGTGGCGACGCGGAAGGTGAAGACGCGCGGCAGGCTGGCGCGCGGCCGCCGCAGGAAAAGCGCCCACGAGCCGGCCAGCAGGATGGCCAGCCGGAAGGCGAGGGAGACGAGCGTGCCGTCGCACTCGGCGCCGCACTGCAGCTGCTCCGGCGTCAGCTCCAGCAGCTGCGTCCGCGGCAGGATCACCAGCACCACGGGCGAGAGCACGGCGAAGAGCGCCACGCCGGCGGCGGCGGCCGCAGCCAGCCGGCGTCGCCGCCGCAGACCGGGGGAGGGCGCGTCGGCCGCCGCGGCAACGCCCAGGTCCGGCAGCGAGGTGGACACGTCCGAGGCGGTGCCGCTGGCGGTGCCGGCCGGCCTGCCGTCGCCCCAGCTGTCCTGTGGCATGATCTGCACCTCCAGCACGTCCCGCGGCGGCGGCGACGGTGGCAGCCCGGTCGACGCGGCCATTGCGGTGGAGACTGAAGAGGCGGCTGCTTCGAAGGGCTCGTCCAGTCGGGTCCTGTGCGAACGGAGGGCTGGGTCACGTAGGTGCGACACCAACGTGTGAATACGACGCAGCATGTGAATTTGGCAATTCCTTAACTACCCTGTTGTTACAGATCTCATCACCATTGTGCCATGCGACCAGGGCGGCGCGAAGCTATAGCTAGAATGACCGCTGTACCCAAGAAGCAATACAAAGGAGTGCCGAGCATGCCATCGTGTAATCGTGGCCCATAAAAGCTGGGAAAATGCGCGAAGTCATTCACCCCGTCATTCCCGGGTATACGGAGGTCACGTGAATTCTCACAATACGTCATAAGGTGTGATGCACAGCTTCGGCTATAGCACGGGTGCTGTGGACAGTCCGTCCGCCTATGGCATGTTATGATAAGGCGAGTGTTAACTCAGAGGAGGCGCACCGGCGCTCTACCAGAAACGCTTCCCTGCGCGGTATGCGTTAAGAAGCTGGAGATCCTTCATTGTATCTGATCTTGACGAGTTTGACAGAACAATGTTGTAGTCAGGAACCCCACGCTGGTTGCAAGAGAATAGATTGCACAACCCGCGCTCTCCACAAAAAAAGCCACCTGCAACGTGGGCGTGCGGGGAGGAGATTCCGAAATCCAAAAGTCGATATCGGCCGCGCGCGGGCACCAGTCAGGATGAGTGGGCACCGGCTTAGACCCGGCAAACTCTGCCTCATATCGGTGCTGTTACTAGGTTTCAGTGTACACGATAGACATGATCAGCCACTGGCAAGGTGCCGGCTTTGGAACTGCATGCATCACTGCACAACCGCCTGTCAGTGTACAAGGCTTCAGCGTCGGCTGCCGGGCCTGTGGTCCCAAAATCCTGCACCTCTAACGAGGACCCCCACGGCGGGCGCGACCCACCGGTGCGTATGGCGAGTGCGCCGGTGGGAGGCGCGGTGGGACGGTTTGGCGTCGGCCCGGCTCGGCTCCGGCTCCGGGGAGGCGCCGTAGCGGGCGGAGCCGCGCGTGGGCTCCATCCGGCTCCGGGCGCCGCTCTCAGCGTGCAGAATGCCCAGCATTCAGAAGGCGCTCGCCGCCGCCTGCCGCAGACGAAGGGGGGGTCAGTCGGACCGGGCGTGTCACGTGCGCCGGACACGTCCACGAGCAGCGGCCATAGAGTATCCACTAGACACAACACTCGTCTATCAGAGGCCAATCCGGGTTTTCAATGTTATTTGTGCAAGACATCGCCTACACACACCTCCCAGTGCAAATGTTCTCACAATTTAAACACAACAGCACACAATACTTGCAAGCATTTTTCATAAACTGCCCGACATCACGAAAGGCAGAGACGCATAACATAACACATGCGTCCGCCAGCAACACTAAAAACGCACAGGAATTCACATTTGGCGGTCGCTGTTGGACCAGCGGTTGGACCGGCATGCGACATTAGGCGACCGAGTTGATTACAGACCGAGTCAGTTGTCTCAGAAGAAGGTCTGTTGTCAGTACATGGATCATATCAAAACCCGGTTGAAACAAACCAAAAGGATTTAGGAAATTGTCCAAATGTGTTCTGTTGGTGGATTTGACACGTTCACCTTTCATCGGAATTCGGCACCCAAGGGGGTTCGCTGTCCAGCAGATGACCACACGTTGACCCAGCGAGAGGCCGGGGGAGCTCCACCAATGAGCTCCCTTGAGAGCTCCTGAGCGGTCAGGTGAGGTCACGAGGTCAGCTCTGATTTCATTGGTCCCGCAGTGTTTGGCTCATCGGCGATGTGGTGGCCCCGTGTGCGGACCCACTGCCAACGGCCCGCGCCTAGCATAAGCAGGCCGTTTCTTTACAAACGGCCACGCGGACACCATTGCACGAAGCACTGGCGTCTAGGGGGCGGGACACTGTGAGATTCGGACCCGGTTCGCTCTGTGAGCAAGCGGCCCGAGCGAGAGGCACGGCATCACCCTCGATCTAGATTGCGCGCGTCACCGCTACACGCGTCCCCGCATCGTGCCCACGGCGGCGGCCGACCACAGCGGCACTTGCAGGACCCGCCATAACCTGCTCATCCGTGACGGGCCAGCCTCGTGACGCTGGCCTCGTCGCTACAGTGCGTACGCGTGACCAGTGCGGAGCGCTGGCGGCGTGCGCTACCCGGGGCCGTCCGCAGTGGGTCGGCATGCTCGTCGGCCCGTGTGCCGCCGGTGGGTGGAGCGCCGCCTTGTCGGCGATGGTTTGCGTCTGGCACGCCTGCGCCACAGTGGTCACGATGAGCACCGCTCTGGCCTGCGCTGGGTCATCATGGGGCTGCTTATCCGACGCGCAACGCTCGTGCGCTCATTCGCAAATCACACCGAGAATGGGCCGGCAGTTCCAGCTAACTAGACAGAGAAAGTTGGTATTCGTCGTTTTCAGTGACCGTGACAAAACTATTGCGCAAAAAACGCATATATTGTGTGCAGATAATAGTCTCAGAGTCCTTGTCTAAGCGTCTGTATTGGTTGCATGGTTCCATCCCTCTCGACTTTAGCCAAAGCAGGGTGTATTCGAAACCGGTTTTGGAACATCTGAACATGGATTGCAGCCCGTTCGATTCGATCACCGGGAAGCCCCTGGATCAGAGCGTGTTGGGATCGCCCAGCAGTTTGCGTCCTGCACATTCGCCTAACATGTGCAGGCAGTTTCACGTCTTTATGAGCTCTAGTTGCCGAGCTATGACATCCTTAAAACCCCCACAAATGACAAACTACAAGACGTCTGCGCGTCTGCCCATTGACCAGTACTTTTGTCAGCACCAATGTTCTTCCCCTCCTGCGTTGAACGCTGCCAGTCTTATGCTGCTGTTACGCCGTGTCGTGGTCTGTGCACGGTTTTGACCACTGCGGAGCAGCATTTTCGCAATGAGCAAATTTTACCGTCAGGCATGGTAAATGAATGGGGAAGGCCACATTTTATCCACAGTGCAATGTGGTAGGCGGACCTCAGCCTATCACAAACGCTCATGTACTTAAGATATGGAGAATTTAGCTTAATGGCTTCTCTGCTCGAGTTAAAAGAGTTCTGGCTGTTGAAGCAATGCTTGCTCGGCTTTCGACCTCATTCGTAATGCTGGATGACATTCCTTGGCCGGTTTGAAGAAGGACTCACTCGGCCTGCAACCCCGCCCGTATTGAATGATGCTGAGGTTCCTTCACCGATTCGCAAAGATCTTTCTGCGCTCCTGGACTGGGCTAACAGGGTAAAAACATGTTACTAACGTGGACCTCCTGAGCTGTACCACCAGGCTTGCATGCAGAGATGCGTGCGTTATCACTCCAGCGGGACGCTTTGATAGAAGCGTCACGGGACGTACCGCTCGCGTCGTTTCTGGACTGCACCGTCCAGCGCACCATCTTCTGCGGGAGGGGCGACGCCGAGTGGTCCAACGTCAGGCACCGACGCGCGTCGAACGGGGAGCCAAGAGGTCATGCTTCCCACCCCCCTCTCACCTTTCTTCATGAGTTTAGTAATAACCCAAGCGATGCTGCACAGGAAGAATTTAGATAACGCAAACGGTCTCCCCTCCCTCCTCCTCCCTCACTTCCTTGGACGCTCCTTTGATATGGACCAAGACCAATGCGTACAAAAAAAACGAGAAAAAAACAGGAAGAAAATATTCAGCCAATGCACGCGAGAACTACGGAAGGCCGTGGTTCACGAAGACCAGCCCCCAGACGTACCATTCCATGGGGTCCCTCAGGCCAGCGAGCATGGCCACTCCCAGAGCCGCACAGATTAGCCGCCTTAGAAGTCGCCAGTGGCCAGCCTGGCCGAATAAAGCAGCTTACGGAGGCGGCGCGGCCCCGGTCTCCGCTGAGCCGCTTCATTTCGACATCAGAGTCGATCCGCCGACCAGCGGGCCGGCACCGCGGGCACTCCACAGCAGAGGCTTTAACGACACGACCAGCGGGCCGGCACCGTGGGCACTCCACAGCAGAGGCTTTAACCACACGACCAGCGGGCCGGCACCGCGGGCACTCCACAGCAGAGGCTTTAACCACCGACCAGCGGGCCGGCACCGCGCGCACTCCACAGGAGAGGCTTTAACCACCGACCAGCGGGCCGGCACCGCGCGCACTCCACAGGAGAGGCTCTAACCACCGACCAGCGGGCCGGCACCGCGCGCACTCCACAGGAGAGGCTTTAACCACCGACCAGCGGGCCGGCACTGCGGGCACTTCACAGGAGGGGCTTTAACCACTGACCAGCGGGCCGGCACCGCGAACACTTCACAAGAGGGGCTTTAACCACTGACCAGCGGGCCGGCACCGCGGGCACTTCACAGCAGAGGCTTTAACCACATGACCATAGAAGGGCAAGTGGAATTGGGAGGCGCCCGGAGTGTGCATGCCTTTGATGGAGATGCTGGGTGGGCGCTGCTCGGCAGCATATTAATCCACTTCTGCTTTGTGAGGTCTGTGCTTAATCCAGTCGGCCTTCAGGAAACCGGGAGGTGCTGTTTGAAACCAATGGGTCGAAATTATCCCAAACATGATACCGCGAACGATCAGACATGATAGGGGACTATTGTAGTGCCAAAAATGTGAAGCGTGCCTGATCGCTTGAGATCAAGAAGCACATACCTACGACGGTAAAGTAGCGCGTAATGTCGATAAACCCGGGAACCACTAACAAGTCACGTTAACCAGTTCGGGCTTCAAATGTTCTGCATGCATGCATGGCGCACGTGGTATCGCTTCCAACCGTCGAAAGTCAAAGCTTCCCTACATACATACGCGAAAATTTTGCAATGATTACACTCACAGGCGCACATGAGCAGCTCGGGCATACAGCCCTTTCACACCGCGATTAGTCTTCAGGGGCCACCACGCTGCCACCGCGGCTCCCTTCAGGGGCCACCACGCTGCCACCGCGGCTCCCTTCAGGGGCCACCACGCTGCCACCGCGGCTCCCTTCAGGGGCCACCACGCTGCCACCGCGGCTCCCTCCAGGGGCCACCACGCTGCCACCGCGGCTCCCTCCAGGGGCCGCCACGCTGCCACCGCGGCTCCCTTCAGGGGCCACCACGCTGCCACCGCGGCTCCCTTCAGGGGCCACCACGCTGCCACCGCGGCTCCCTTCAGGGGCCGCCACGCTGTCACCGCGGCGCCCGCTCCAAGCCTTTTCCGCCCATTCTAGGTTCACTTCACGCCACGGTTGTCCACTGCCTCTCGTTGTGTTTATTCGTCTTCTGGTCTCATGTTGCCGCGCCTGTTTCGCCGTTGGTCGTCGTGGCCGCGCCGAGGCTATCTAAGTTCTCTGGCCGGAAAACCCGCCGCCGTCTGCGCCAGGCGCGCCGGAGCCAGACACGTGCCCAAGTATGACAACAATGACTCCGGGCCGCCTCGCCCGAACTCACGACGTCACCGCGCCGCCGGCAGCCCGATGGCTTACTCACGACTGAGGCGCGTCTGTTGGCTCACAGGGCGCGGGAGATCGGCAGATGTACCTGTCCTGGGAGGCGGCTGGGAAGGCCAGAACAAATGGGACGCTGATGACCATGAGACCAGGGGAGAGCGAGAGCTGTGGAGGGCCCCGCGTCCAACTGCACAACACAGCTTATAACACCGTATAGCCCCATTTACGGACGGTCACTTGGGGACGAGCGTTGCTAAGCCAATAATGCTGCTATTACCGGCCAGCGCGATCTCAACAACGCCCCATCACGGATGGTGGCTGGCAGCATGACATTACAAAACCCACCCGCTGTCAGCAGATACTTGCCGACGTTTGCAGAGAAGTTATGGCTTCGCCCAACATGCAGCAGTAAAAACGGGGATGTCGGTGGGGATGCTGAGAAATTCAGACGCATCCCACGAAATGCAGACCTGCTTCACATGGCTTGCAGGCGCTTTTCCGGGGATGTTTCCCATCCAAACCGCATCCGTGCCAGCCCGTCCGGCTGCTGCGGAAGGGTGCGATGCCGCGGACGCCGTCCATGGCGCACCGCATCCAGGTTAGACTTCCGGGTCCAAACAAGTCGGTCGGGCGTATTTGGAAGGGGAGGGGCATCAGTGGAGCGGCGCCGGTACGGATCGCTGGAACCGGCAAGGG